ACTTGTCAAGTTTTAAGGCAAGTCTCAGGCCCCAGACTCATAGGAGAGACAGTGGGCTACCAAAGCTGTACAGCCCCCAAAGAGGACGTGCCTCCTCGTGCCACTTGGGATATAGCCATGGATGGTCAGGGACAAGAAGAAACCTCCCTGAGGGCAAAGCTGAGGCCAGGGAGGACTGTAGACTGAGGAAGTATTTCTAGAGGCCCAAACCAGGGGCAGTCAGGACCAATCAAAAACATTCTCCACCCTCAGGGAGTATTTTCAATTTATGCCTCGCAGGATTTAATCATTTCTGTGCAACAGTGGGAGTCTCCATACAGTTACCCTGTTCTCGGTCCATGACTGTCTAATGTGCCCTATCGCCATAGGTGAGAAGCCACATCCAGGCCCAGTGGAAAGGGCTGAGCTGCACCCGCAGATCCTAGACTGTGAAACAGGATGCAGCATGTTGCTTGCTTTGAGGAGTGAGTATATTCTACATTTGGGAAGAAGGGTTGGCGTTTGGTGGCCAGAGGGGCAGACTGTGGTGGCGATCGTCATTTGCCCACTAAAATCTTCTTTCTCCATACAGAACAGTTACAGAATTGTAGGTAGGATGTGGATACTCAGGTGAGGACTGTATTTCCAGCTGTTGTACCAGGAGTGCCTTTTGTCCAAGTTCTCACTAGCGGAATGTGAACAGAAGTGATTTGTACAAGGTCTGCCTTACTTCTTAAGATGAGACGTCTGTGCCTGAACTGCTCCGACCTCTGGCCGCTGCCTTGGCTGGCAAAAAACTAGAGCGGCCTTGGAAGCCTTGTGTTGAAGATGAAAAACTGGTTACCTGCATGTACTCTCATGTGGGAAATGAACCTTTACTTTGAGCCACTGCATTTTGGGGTCTTTTTTTTGTTAAAACAGCTTACATTCTCTGGGACACCTGTGGTTGCACATCACGTTTCCTGTATCCCACATAGGAAGACTTCCTTAGCTTATTCCTTTATTTTGGTGGAGGACCTCCTCCATTTGCTTTCTTAGAAGGTGTGCTGGAGGGGTAAGTATTTTGAGAGCTGAATTCCTTTGCATTTGACCTGTTTTTATCCTTCTGGAGCCTTAAGAATCTTCTATTTGTCTCCAGCGTTTTCTCGTGTGTGTGTCTATTTTCAACTATTGTGCTGGGTACTCAACCCTTGCAATCTGGAAACTGGTATCCTTCATTTCTGGGAATAAAAATGTTTTTTCTTTGATTATTCCCTCCCCTGCATTTTCTCTGTCTCTATTCTTAGCAGAACTCTTAATGTACAGATATTGGCTTTCCTTGCCCAGCACTCTAATTTTCTTATGTCTCTCTCCTAGCTCCCATCTGTTTGTCTTTTTGCTTTACTTTTTGAGAAATTTCCTCACTATTTATCTTCCTTCTACTGATTTTCTTGTGTGTTCCCTGAACATTTATTTTCTTTTTAAAATAACATCCTGGGGCGTCTGGGTGGCTCAGTTGGTTGAGCGTCCGACTTCGGCTCAGGTCATGATCTCACGGTTTGTGGGTTTGAGCTCTGTGCTGACAGCTTGCTCAGAGCCTGGAGCCTGCTTTGGATTCTGTGTCTCCTCTCTCTCTGCCCCTCTCCTGCTCATGCTCTGTCTCTGTCTCTCAAAAATAAATAAATGTTAAAAAACATTTTTTTAAAAAACAACACACCGATCTTGTTTCTTGGTTACTGACCCTCTTATCCCTCTGAGGATATTATTGACAGATTTTCTAAGTCTTTTTCTTTCCGTGTGGGTTGTTTCTTCTAAGTTGCTATTTCTCCTTCCTTTGGTGTGTGTCTTGTTTTGATCTCTTTCACATGAAAGGATCTTCTCAACTATGTGGTGATCGTATTTAAAGTGTGGGGACTAGGGGCACCTGACTGGCTTAATCCGTAGATCATGCAACTCTTGGTCTCAGGGTTGTGAGTTTGAGCCCCACGTTGGCCACAGAAGGGACTGAAAAGAAAAGTGTGGGGACTAACAAGGTGATTGGGAGCTCAGAGCATATAAATAGGGATTGTTGATTGTGAACTTAATATGGGGTGATCTGGCTGGGCTGTCTTCCTAGGGACTCCAGATTTCAGCACCTCTACATCTCTCTTTCCCATGCCCCAAAGAAGAATTTTCTAATCTTCTGCCTGAAGGTTGAAGATCTGGCAGCCAGTGTTCTCAGAGCTGAGTGGAGAAACTTGGCTGGGGTTGTGGGAGAGATTATTTTTTTATTCAGTATGTACATGTTTGCTAAGTGTTTCTTCTGTTACCCACTCCAGAAGGGAAAATTTCGTCTTTTTTTTTCTAGAAGGGGGATGGTTAGTGGTCCAGTTACTCAGAGTAGGGGTACAGACCTAACAGCTTCTCCAACAGTTTTACCCAATCTTCCAAACTCTTTAGCTTCAGGTGCCTGAGGTCATCAGACCCTCAATCTTATGATGATTCTGTGGTGCAAATAAGTTGCTCTTGGGCTTTCCCCATTACTGGTTTGCTAAATCACCTACTACAGGTCCATTTTTTGTGTGTGTGTATGCAGAATCTTGTTGCTGCGGAATCCTCTCCTATCCCCCTTATCCTTCTGGGTTTAAAAATCAAACACACCTATTTGTGTTTTCCACAGAGTTTCAGGAGGAAGGAAATGAAGACACTTTGGTTCAATCTGATGTCTCTCCCCAGGAATCACCCCAGGAATTCTCTGCTCATTCCTACTGCAATTGCTCTAATTTGAGCCACTCTCACGGCTCTCCTGGTCCACTGTAGCAGCCCGGGTTGCTCTTTCCGTATCTACTTTATTACACTGAAGTCAGAGTGGACTTTCTACAGGGCAAATGTTACTTCTCCACCCTCTTTTATTAAAAAAATTTTTTAATGTTAATTAATTTTTTTAAGAGAGAGACAGAGAGCAAGCAGGGGGAGGGGCAGAGAGAGAGGGATGTGAAGCAGGCTCCAGGCTCGTGAGCTGTCAGCACAGAGCCTGACGCCAGACTCGAACCCACAAACCGTGAGATCATGACCTGAGCTGAAGTCGGATGCTCAACCAGGTGGGCCACTCAGGCTCCCCTCTCTACCCTCTTTTAACCCCTTCTTTGGCTCCCTGTTGCTCTTGACTTGTAAGCCCCTGCATCATCTGGCCTTGCTCGGCTTTTCATTCTCATCTCCCAACATTCTTCCAGTTGCTCAGTGTGGCATTTCAGGGTATTCCTACATACTGTGACTTTTTTTTGAAATGATCTCTCATTGCTTCCTCCAAACCCCCCCCCCCGCCCCCACCAAATTTTCCACTTAACTTATACTCATTGTCTTTCAGGGCTTGACTTTAAATTTTCTTCTTCGAGGAAGCCTTTCACGTCACTCAACACTATGTAGGTCCTTTGTTGATGGTCTGATTAGTCTAAATATTTGCTATCTTTTCTCACAGAAGGGTTATACCTCCTTCCCCTGATGGTGTCCATATTAGACATAACACACTTGGGAAATTCTACATTACAACTTTCACCACTGTTTACTTTCCTGTCTTCCTGGCCAAACTATAAGCTCTAAGATGGAAAGTTTCTGTGTCTTTCTTAAACACCACCGAACCCGCAGTGTTTGGTGTAGTGCCTTGGTCACCCATAGGAACGACAAAGACTCTCTCCTTGACCCAATTCTAGCAAGGTTTCTTACAGTGTAAGGCCATGTCCCTAGAATGACCCCAGTCCTCCTTAAAATGCCTGCCCTGAGAAAGCTCAACGCTGCCAGGAGAACTTACTGTATGTTCCAGCCAAAACCTGGTGCTAGGCATTTGGGCCCCTGAGCTCCGTTTCAGAGCAGTTACTCTAGAAAACTTGCAATTCTACATCCCTTATAATTTTGAGATGTAAATCTGCCATACAGAACTGTCTTCTCAAGGCCCATCTCCTCCCAGCCTGGTGGTATATTGCTCTAACTTGTACAACTGCCTGTCATAAAGATATGAGAAGTTTGTTTCTCCTCCAGATAGTTGGCAGTCAACAAACCTAGGTGGCCTAGTCACGTGGACCAACATCCCTCGGCACCTTTCAATGCTTTCCCCTTAGCACTCTGATCTTTGGAAAGTCTGCAGTCTTTTGGGGAAGTTCAGTTCACGATGTACCCTCTTTCCTGTTGTAGTAGTTATTACCCAGTAAAATCTATCCTTACTGCTTTAACTAGTGTCTCACTTTGTTTATCTCTGACAGTAAGCACACTAAATAGTTACTGAATTAAGTAAACAGGTTCTGCACAGGAGTGAATGGCTGCAGGGGAGGAGTTTCATTATTTCAAAGCTTCTTTTGGGTTCTATCTTCCTCTCCCTCCCTCCAAAAAAGCTACTTGTCTGTTATTTTTTATTTCATAATCTCTACCTACATGAAAGGTGACAATTACATCCAAGTCACCCACGACACATTTTGGGATTTAACTAATCAGATTATTGTAGACAGATATAGAAAGCTATTTTAAAATGTAGCATCTCCAAATTTCAATTCCCTGGCTCCTTTTTTAAACATGGCTTAAAAACTTCAAAAGTTTTACCGTTTCTATTTCTGGGCCAACAAGAAGAGTTCAGTTCAGTCCAGAAAGACATGTGGGCGGGTTGGATGTGAGCGCTAGCGTGGGTGAGTTGGGCTCAGCTTTGGCTACAAATGGCTCAACACCTCTTCTTCCCTCCCAATGGGGACAGCGCTCTGCTGACTGCTCCCGCAGGTTCCCGCTGTTCCTCCAAAATCTTGCCAGTTAAACTCTCCTGTCGATACTTTTAGGCAGCCCAGCGCGCCCCCCGCAATCCGTGACCCTCTGCGTCAATTCGATTCAGAAACAGCAGTACTGCCACTCCCACGCTCCAGTCCCAGCCTCCGCCGCGGCCGCGCCGGGGAGTGTCACGTGCCAGGACACGGGCGTGAAGCCAGCGCCGCCATGTTGGTTTCTGGCGGCGCTTTCCAGGGGAAGCGCAAGGCCGCTGGCGAGCCGACACGCGTTCCGGGCCTTGTGCGCAAGTGCGGAAGTGTGCTGGCCCCGAGTGTGACCGCTTTCCGGCCGGTGGTGCCGCACCGGCTGCCAGGAGACGTGTAACGGACGGTGGGCCGCAGCCATGGCCGAGAGGAAACTTAACGGTAGCGGCGGCGCTGCCTCTACCTCCTCATCGGGCACTAACTTACTCTTCTCCTCCTCGGCCACGGAATTCAGCTTCAACGTGCCCTTCATCCCAGTCACCCAAGCCGCCGCTGCCTCGGCCTCCTTGCTCCTGCCTGGAGGTAGTGGGGGCGGGGGGGGGTGTCCGGTGGGAAGAGTGTGTGCAGGGAGGCGGGCGGAGGGCGTGGGGTGACGAGGGTCGGAAAGGAGGTATTCCTTGCGCCTCGATGCGACTCTGTGGGTGGCTTGCCAGGGCCATCCGTGGCCAGGTTTGAGTGGCCCGGGGACTTTGAAATATTGGAAGTAGGGGGCCAGATCGTGAGACTTGCTTTTCGTCGAGGAATTCTCTGATCCGAGGGCTGGACGCTCCACGCTGGCACTGGCATTACACAGATTTTTGTCGAACACATGCTAGTGTGCCAGGTGCTGGCAGGGAATGCAAAGACAATAGTGCTTCTCAACTAGGATACAGTAGGAGATCTCCTAGGATAGACCTGTAATACTTGCAAAGTAGAGGTACACGATGCAGAGGTACTCATCTTTCAAGACAGTGCATCATCACATTGTCTAAGAAGCCATTTCCTGTTCTCCTTGGCCCCCACTCCTACCTGCACCCTAGCTCTTTCATTTCCTTATTATTGTCTAGGGGTGTTGCTTTTTAATGATTGTGTGGCATTACCCAGACCACAGTATCTAGGGGCACAGACTGCGTTCCAGCCCTGACTGTGCCAGGAACTTGCTGTATGACCTTAGGCATGTTACTTTACCTCTCTGTGCTTCACTTTCCATGTCCGTACAGCCTCATAAAACTGTAATGAGAAGTGGATTGATTTTTGTAAGGTGCTGAGTGCAGTGCCTGGCACATAGTGTTATCTAAATGTTTGTGAAATAAACACATCTGCCTCTCTAGTTGGACTGTGGGCTTCTTGAAGTTTGCAGCTGTTGCTAGAGTGTGTGCAGAGGAGTGGCGTGAGTAGTCAGTGGGGACTAGATCACGAAGCGCCTCATATGCCGTACTGAGGAGTTTGTAGTTCATCCTGTAGGGTGTGGGGGAGCCTTCGAAGGATCTTAAGGTAACAAGGCAGTGAAACTGGAGGTGTGTTTCAGAAAGACTGGAGTTTTCTGAGATTGCACCAGAGTAAAGCTGACGGTAGCAAGAGCGGTCAGTCTGGGGGCCGCTGGGAGTCAGGCACGAGCGGATGGCACTCTAGCCCTACCCAGCCACATTGGGTATGAAGAGCAGGGAAGAGAGGGGAGAGATCTTTTAGACTATAAATTGTTGGGTCTCAGTGACTCCCTGGAGGCCATACTGTCAGCTTTATCAGCCCAGAGGCTCCTTCTCTTCCTTCAGTTTTAGCCAGAAGACCTGGCTCCCTAACTGGCGTGTAATGGATACTGTGTACATGTTTCTTGAATGAGTGTCTGAATGGTTAAATGAAGGGATTGAGAAACGAAGCGGGGGAGGAGTCTAAGAGATGATGTTTTGGTTTGAGTGTCTGGATGGATGTTGGTGAACACCTGTTGAGATAGTGCGGTGTGATAAAAGGAGCGCATGAAGGAGGACAGTTAAGGTGGTAAGTTCTTTTTCAGGCTTAGTAGGTTTGAGGTGTATGTGGCTGAGTCTGCCAAAAGTGTCGAGGAAGCAGGTGGTTGATAGGTTCTGGAGCACAGGAGAACGCTCCTGGTTTGAGACAGATTTGGGAGTGTCCAAAGTGTACAAGTGCTCATTAAGGTTGTAGGTTTCGATGCCGAACGTGTCCACATGTAATTAGAAAGTGCCCCTGAGGTGAGCTGGCAGCATGCGGAGATCAGTATTTCATTTGCAGTTGATGCTAATCAGAAAAAAGTCTCTTGGATCAGGTTGATCCCAGGTTGTCTTAAAGGATGAAAGATACCACAGGGGTTTGTTTGTTTGTTTCCATTCCATGTTTTTAGTTGTTGAGAGGTGACCTGAGAAATGTAAGACAAGTGAGGTCCAGGCAGCTGAAAAGAGAGAGAGGGAACTGGAGATGTATCTCCAAAGGAGAATAAAGCCAGCAGACAAAGGGCTTTGTGAAGGAGGTGAGAATTTATTTTTGGTTACAAAGAAACAATGGAGAGGAGTATTTTGAGTAGTGGAGTATCTCAGTTAAATTGATGCGTGAGAAATACAGTGGGAGCAGCCTAGAAACTCAAGCCAGAATCTCTGTGAGCCAGTGAAAGAAGGCCTCTCAGGGGGCAAGGATCACAGTGTGCCTGTGTGCTGAGTGTGGGTCTTCTGTTGGGCTCCATGCCTCCAGCAGTAGGAGATAAGAGGGAATGAGCCGGGGGAAGGAAAAGATTAGGAAGAAAGTTTCTTTAAAAAAAATTTTTTTTTTAATCTTTATTTATTTTCGAGAGAGAGACAGAGTGTGAGCAGGGGAGGAGCAGAGAGAGAGGGAGACACAGAATCCATAGCAGGCTCCAGGCCCTGAGCTGTCAGCACAGAGCCCCATGCAGGGCTCGAACCCACGAACCGTGACATCATGACCTGAGCCGAAGTCGGACGCTCAACTGACTGAGCCACCCAGGCGCCCCTAGGAAGAAAGTTTCTACAAGCTAAGGGCTTATAAAAGTTTGGTAAAAAGAGTGGGCTGGACTTTTGAGGCCATGTAGAGGGAGAATACTTTTATTTTACAACTTGGTTGCAGAAGAGAAGGTAGTTTGGGGTTGATAATCCCTGTGGTGAAGATCAGTTTGGGCAAAGGGAAGTGAAGAGAACTGAACTTTGGTTAGAAAATGGCTTTTTAGTGATTTGGCATTCTCTAATGGCTAGTTCTCTGGTCGCAATAGTGTGATTTTAGGGATGGCAATTAATGGTTGACCTACTTTGCCTTGGGAATACAAATACCACGTGTTCATTTGTACAATGAATGCTTTGTAGGTAAGAGTCCCGACACACCCCTTCTTGTCAACAGAGTTCATGTCTGTACTTAAGTTTCTTATTACTGTAGAAATAAAACTGCGTGTGTTTGGTAGCAGAAAATATTTGAATTATTTTTTACCAGGAGGAAATTCAAAATAAGATGTAAAAATAGTAGGTATAGATTTTGTTTCTGTTTTCAAAAACTCTTATATACAGATATGTGTAATTTATATATATTTACAATAAATACTTGACTATTCATTTAAAAAATATAAAAGGTTATGTACCAAAACATTAACGTGTTAACAGTGATTGTCTTCGGGAGGTGGGCTTATGAATGAATTCTGATTTTTCCCTCCTTTTGTTGTTTCGTATTCTTATTTTCTAGTTTTTCATCTCAAAGAAAAAAAGAACAAGGTTTTCTTTCTTTCTTTCTTTCTTTCTTTCTTTCTTTCTTTCTTTCTTTCTTTCTTTCTTTCTTTCTTGTAATGCAGAAATAGAAAAAAGAACACGTGCAATTGCTCGATCTGCCTTATAGGATCGTAGCTACAGAAAAATAGAATATCCTTTAAATCTTTTGCTCTCCTGTTCCTTTTCAGAAGATTCCACCGACGTTGGGGAGGAGGACAGCTTCCTCGGTCAGACTTCTGCTCACACGTCTACCCCACAGACCTTTAGTTACTTCTCTCAGGTATCAAGCAGTAGTGATCCTTTTGGGAATATTGGACAGTCGCCGTTAACAACTGTGGCAGCATCGGCTGGACACTCAGCATACTCCAAGTCCCCAGCTGCTCTCCCTTTTACAACTGGATCCCAAGATGCGTCGAATGTGTGCTCACCAGCCATTTCGAAGGCTCAGTATGGTGCTCCACCTTCTGCACAGATGGGAATGAATACTTACCTGCCTTCTCAGCCAAGTAGTCTCCCTCCTTCCAATTTTGGGAGCCCACCGCAAGGAACGCCCCAACAAGGACACAATCCATATCGTCACACCCCTGTAAGCAGCAGGGCTAATCCTTATATTGCACCCCCACAGCTGCAACAGTGCCAAACACCAGGCCATCCCCCACATCCTCCACCCGCTGGACCCCCGGTTCAGATGTACCAGATGCCTGTAGGATCTTTGCCACCGGTACGGAGATGTGTTTTTATATCTTAGCTATTCACTCTGATTTATTTTATTTTGTTTTTTATTTTATTTTTTATTAAAAGCAATTTTTTTTTTTAACGTTTATTCCTTTTTGAGAGAACAGAGACAGAATGCGATCAGGGGAGGGGCAGAGAGAGAGGGAGATACAGGATACAAAGGAAGCTCCAGGTTCTGAGCTATCAGCCCAGAGCCTGATGCGGAGCTCGAACCCAGGAACCGTGAGATTATGACCTAAGCCAAAGTTGGATGCTCAACCAACTGAGCCACCCAGGCGCCTCTCCCTCACTCTGATTTTTTATCTCTCTCTCATCTTAGCCTATGTTTTTAAAAAGCGAGCTTCTATTTTTATTTTTTCATTCTTTTTTTTTTTTTAAGTTATTTATTTTCAGAATGTGAGAGCGGGCGCGTGCTCACCTGCATATACAAGTCGGGGAGGAGCAGAGAGAGAGGGTGACAGAGAATCCCAAGCAGGCTCCACACTGTTAGCGCAGAGCCCGACCTGGGGCTCGATCCCACCAACCATGAGATCATGACTTGAGCCAAAATCAAGAATTGGACGCTCAGCCCCCTGAGCCACCCAGGTGTCCCAACACTGGGCGTTTAATAGTCAATGTGATGATAAACTGTTCTCAGAGGTGATTCTTTGTAAGCTATGTGTTTTTTTTTTTGTTTTTTTTTGTTTTTTAATTTTTTTAACGTTTATTTATTTTTGAGACAGAGAGAGACAGAGCATGAACAGGGGGAGGGTCAGAGAGAGGGAGACACAGAATCTGAAACAGGTTCCAGGCTCTGAGCTGTCAGCACAGAGCCCGACGCGGGGCTCGAACTCACGGACCGCGAGATCATGACCTGAGCCGAGGTCGGCCGCTCAACCGACTGAGCCACCCAGGCGCCCCTGTAAGCTATGTGTTTTGAAGTAAACATTCTTTTAAAGGAATCATAAAGGGGCACCTGGGTGGCTCATTTGGTTGAGAGTCAGACTTTGGCTCAGGTCTTGATTTCACGGTTCATGAGTTCAAGCCCCACATTGGGCTCCCCGCTGTCAGTGCAGAGTCCACTTTGGATCTTTTGTCCCCCTTCTCTTTCTGCCGTGGGTCCCCACTGCCACTCTCTCTCAAAAAAATACATAAACATTAAAAAAAAATTTAAAGGAAGCTCATTAAATGGTTCATATATTATTGATTTATGAAAGTAGTACCTGATTTTAATGAGTTAACTACATGTCAATATTTCCAGATTTTAGAGTAAGATACCAGTAATAAATGTTATCTGGGGATATGTCAGAGTTGAAGCATTTATTAACAGACTACCATTTTCTCAGTTTTTAATTATCCTACTCAATCAAAACATTCAATTACAGGGACTAAAATTTATTACTTCTATAATTTCTTTACTTTATGAAGTTTGGGTCTAGACAGTCAAACTCTATCTCAGGAGGGTGATGGGGCAACATTTGCATTGGGTAAATTCTATGAAATTCCCTTATGCTTTTTCCCCAGCTGATTGTTGAACTGACTTCCACAGGGAAATCAACTGAATCAAAAAAAGGGAAATGATTCAAAGGAAGAATTAACCCAAGTGTGGCAGGGATAGCGGTATTATAATCAGAAAATAACCTAACTTCTCTCTTGGGAATAGAGAATGGGCTCAGTTTTATTGTTTAATTTAAATCCTATCAATACACAAACTTGATAATGTTGGATTTCAGCATATTGGAAGGTAAGCGCATCACAGCATGTGGGATAGTTAACGTGTTAGTTTGCTGATTAAATTTTTGAAAAGGTTTCTAATTAAGAAATTTAAAAATGATAATTTCAGACTTGAAAGTTACAAAAATAAAGATAGCACAAACAGTAACTCAGTGCCCTTAATGCATGTTTACCTGTCATTAACGTTTTACCCCATTTGTTCTTTTACTTGTGCACAGGCACACACTCACACATTTGGACATCCTCTCTCTCCCCTTGTCACTATGTGTGTGTGCAAGTTGTTTGGGAAATGGTCAGTTGAATGCATTATGACTCTTTACTCCTAACTATTTTAGTGCAAATTTCTAAGAATAAGGATGTCCTTTTACATAACCACAGTACAGTTATCACCTCCGTAATTTTAACATTGATACAACATTCCAAAATGATTTTTAATTAAAACATTTAAAAATAATTGTTTTCTAATTTAAAAAATTGTTTTTTTTAATTTTAATTTTTGTACTGTTTATTTTTGAGAGAGACAAGTGGGGGAGGGGCAGAGAGAGAGGGAGACACAGAATCCAAAGCAGGCTCTAGGCTCTGAGCTGTCAGCACAGAGCCCCATGTGGGGTTCAAACTCATGAACTGTGAGATCATGACCTGAGCTGAAGTCATACATTTAACCGACTGAGCCACCCAGGCGTCACATCAAGTTTAAATTTTTTTTAAGTTTATTTTTTGACAAAGAGGGAGAGAGAACTTGCATAAGCAGGGGATGGCCAGAGAGAGAGGGGGAGAGGGAGAATCCCAGTGTGGAGCCTGATGCAGGGCTCAAACCCACAAATCGTGAGATCATGATCTGAGCCAAAATCTGGAGTCAGATGCTTAACTGACTGAGCCACCCAGGCATCCCTGATTCTGATTTTAAAAGTATTTCCAGTGCAGAAAATTTGAAAAATGCAGAATAGTCAAATGATTAAAAATTGCATCTGGATAACCCTTCTTCTCATTTTTTTTATGTTTTATCTTTTTTTGTAGACAAACATTGTATATGATTTCTGTGAACGTTTAGATGTTAAGATTGTTTTCTAAAACGTTAAAAAAATTTTTTTTAACATTTATTTATTATTGAGAGAAAGAGAGAGAGACAGAGCATGAGCAGGGGAGGGGCAGAGAGAGGAGGAGACACAGAATCCAAAGCAGGCTCCAGGCTCTGAGCTGTCAGCACAGAACCCGATGTGGGGCTTGAACTCACAAACTGCAAGATGATGACCTGAGTTGAAGTAGGATGCTTAACCGACTGAGCCACCCAGGTGCCCCTTTTCTGAAACATTTTTAATGGCTCTAGAGAATTCCACCCTTTAAGTCACAGATAATGTACTTAATCAGGTCTCTGTTAGACATTTAGATTGTGTCCAGTGATTTTCTGTTATAAGTGACCGTTTAGTATATGTCTTTGTAGGTAAATTTTTGTTTCTGTATTACATCTTTAAGATGAGTTCTTAAAAATAGAATGGTCAGGTCAAGGAATATGCAAGTTATAGAGATTAAATAAATCACAGGAGACATACTGCTAGATTGATTTCTGTAAAGGTGCCAGTTTACTTCACCATCAGTTTGAGAAAGCCCAGTCTACTTTGAGACTGATGTTGGATTCTGTTGATTTTTGTTGTTGTTAAGAAACATTGTTTTAGGGCCCAATTATTAAACTAAATGGTTGTCCAGAGATATATGTAGGATAATCATTATGAATGTTACTTTGGGTCTGAGGCATATATGGAATTGTTGTTTTTTGGACAAACATCATAGTCCTGTCTTTCTGGTGTGTTCCAGATTCCTCCTTCAGTGCCATCGGGGTTGACCCCTCCAACACAACAGCAGGCTCTTGCTAGACCCACAGGTCCTTCTGTGCAAACGCCCCCTCCTTTTCTACTTCAAAACCAATATGAACCTGTTCAACCCCACTGGTTTTACTGCAAGGAGGTAGAATACAAACAATTGTGGATGCCTTTCAGTGTGTTTGACTCTTTGAATCTTGAAGAAATCTATAATTCAGGTAAGGACAGATCATGCATCATTTTTATCTCATTTTAGGAAGAGAAGAAACAGTATTTATCCATGGCTCATATTTTGTGAATGTCAAATTCCTTAATCCTTGTAGACTCCACCAGACTCTGTATCTTAAGATAGTGATAGTAATAGAAGGCCTGAATTATTTAAGCAAGGTTTTTAAAATGTTTTAGTAATTTTCTTCTTTGTTTAAAGATGTTTTAAGTTAGAGACATAGAGTAGTTCATATAATGTAGGTGTCAATTTTCCTATTTCTGTCATTCTTTTGTAGTTACGGACATTTATAAAACATCTTCTTTAGAACTCTCGTTCCTGAAGATGCTTTGAAAAGTGTTCTGTAGTCAGGCAGTTTTGAAAGTGACTTAACTTCATTCACCTCTTGAGATCGTGCAATGCAGTGTGTTAAGGCTCTGAGAAGTCCTGGAGTATAGAATTATGTGTTTTTGTTCATCCTGATAATATTTCATCATGAGACTTAAAAATCCCTCAATACCTTCTGGAAGCATACCTCATGGAGACTTGCTGCTTGGATTAAAAAAAGAAAATCCAGTTATTTGAATTATTATTTTATTTATTTATGTATTTATTTTTCATTTGAATTATTTTACGGTCCTACTTCACAACTCTGCTCCGGCTATTTTTTCTTCACTTAGGAAGAGTCATAATTTTTTTTTTCAATATATGAAATTTATTGTCAAATTTGTTTCCAAGAAGAGTCATAATTTTGAGTAGCACAAATTAATGTTAAACTTCAATTTTTATTTATTTACTTATTTAAAAAAAATTTTTTTTTAACGTTTATTTACTTTTGAGACAGAGAGAGAGGATGAACAGGGGAGGGTCAGAGAGAGAGAGAGAGGGAGACACAGAATCTGAAACAGGCTCCAGGCTCTGAGCTGTCACAGAGCCCGACGCGGGGCTCGAACTCACGAGCCATGAGATCATGACCTGAGCCAAAGTTGGACGCTTAACTGACTGAGCCACCCACGCGCCCCAAACTTCAATTTTTAAACACGAATGAACTTAGTTCTGTGTCATTAAGGGTCAACTAGCCACCATATTCATTATTTATTACTTTTATTTTTTATTTTTTAAAGTTCATTTATTTTTTTTCATTACTTATCATTTTTCAACCTGCCTTGTAACTGTCGGGTTAAAACGTGAACTTTGTGCTCCAGTCCAGCCAGACCCTGAGAGTGTGGTTCTAGGCACAGATGGAGGGCGCTATGACGTTTATCTCTATGATCGACTGAGGAAGGCTGTGTACTGGGAAGAGGAGCCGGCGGAAGTCAGACGCTGTACTTGGTTTTACAAAGGGGACACAGACAGCAGATTTATTCCCTATACAGAGGAGTTCAGTGAAAAACTAGAGGTACGTGGGCTTCATTCTTTTATGCTTTCCTTCGAAACCGTAGGCCCTGTATACATTGGAGCCTCACGTGACACCACTCACAACGAAGCAGGCTTTTTAAGAGCCTGTTTTGATGCTGTTCACAGAGGAGATTGCTTTTTCAGTGGTGCCTTTGTTCAGATGAGGTGCTAATCATGGCCTCAGTAGCTGAAGGTAGACTGTTTTATAGGGGCGTATCACAGATCTAGAAACTAGGTACTTGTATCAAACATTCAAACCAACTTAGTCTGCTGGGATCTGTTGTTCAAAGCACGTGCCAAGCATATGGATTCTTTTCTGATCACTGTTCAGTAAAAGACTTGAGCTTAACTTCTGATTTTTGAAAATAGAAAACGGAATAGAAACAAATGTTTTAAGACTTAGCCATTCTAAAACTGGTGGTTAATGTTGTTTCACATAATTGCATTCATTTCTTATGATAATTCTACTTAATGGTTGAATTAATAAGTGAATTCAATTTATGTACATTGGAAATGAGATACAGAATACTTTAGTTGCTATTTTTTTTTTAATTTTTATTTATTTTGAGAGAGAGCGGGTATGTGCGAGCACGTGCGAGCAAGGTATGAGCAGAGAGAGAGAGAGAGAGAGAGAGAGAGAGAGAGAGAGAATCCCAAGCATGCTCAGGGCTGTCAGCATAGAACCCGACACATGGCTCGATCCAACCAACCGTGAGATCGTGACCTGAACTGAAATCGAGAGTTGGACGTTTAACTGCCTGAGCCACCCAGGCGCTCCTACTTACTATTTTTTAATGTAGTAGTTATTAAAACTGAGATAACTGGCACTAACAGAAAACATTAAAACAACACTGTGTTAACGTTGAAAGGGGCCCCTAAAATGTTAATCTTCCCTAGAAAGAAAATTGTTCAACAGTCCAGTCTTTGGAGTCAGAAATTTGAGGGTGGGAGTGAACTGCGGTTCTGCCCGTGCTACTTTACGCCTGCGATCTCGTGCACCTGTGAACTTAAAATGTCTACTGAGGGGTTGAATTGTGTCCTCCTTTGCACCCCACAAAAGATATGTTGAAGCCCTAACCTGTAGCACCTCAGAATGTGATCTTGCCTGGAAATAGGATGCTTGCAGGTATAGTTAGTGAAGATGAGATCATTCTGGAAAAGGTTGGGCCCCTAATCCAATATGACTTGACATCATACCAAGTAAAAATAGAGAATTGGAGTGTTGCATCTTTAAAGCAAAAACACTAAAGATTGCTGGCAAAGCACCAGAAGCTAGGAAGAGGCAAGGAAGGAGTAAGGAGTCTTCTATAGGTTTCAGAGGGATACGGCCCTGGCTGACACTTGACTTCAGACTTCTAGCCTCTGGAACTGAAACAGTACATTTTTTTTTTTTTTATGTTTTTTAAAGTTTTTAAAATGTTTATTTATTTTTGAGAGGGAAAGAGACAGAGTGCAAGTGGAGGAGGGGCAGCGAGCAAGGGAGACAGAGAATCCGAAGCAGGCTCCCGGCTTTGAGCTATCAGCACAGAGCCTGATGCGGGGCTCGAATCCACGAACCGTGAGATCATGACCTGAGCTGAACTTGGAGGATTAACTGACTGAGCCACCCAGGCACTCCGAGACAGTACATTTCTATTGTTTTAAGCCATTCATTTTGTGGTACTTTGTTATAGTAGCTCTAGGAAACTAATAGACTGGGTAAACCTTTGTTCTCTCCTGTATGTACTGAGGATAATCTTATTTAGGAGTGATTGAGAGTAATTAATTAAATAAGATAATGTATGTAAAATGACAGACAAGGATGATAAATAGTACATGAGAACTGCTGTTACGTTATTTTTATCATCATCATAGGTCTACTTTTCTTCCACACTTTTTCTCACCATGGCATAGATTTGTCTTATTGGCTTATATGTTTCTGTTATTTTAGGCTGAATATAAAAAAGCAGTAACCACCAATCAGTGGCACCGTAGATTAGAGTTCCCAAGCGGAGAGACCATTGTTATGCACAATCCAAAGGTAATGTTAATGTTTAAGATATTAAAGTGTTAAGGGAAAAAAAAAGATATTAAAGTGTAAGGTTCCTTTCAATAAAGATTTTGTTGAATGTGGTTGATAAATACTCCTTTTTTTATATTAAATATAATTTATTGTCATATTGGCTTCCATACAACACCCAGTGCTCATCCCAACAGGTGACCTCCTCAATGCCCATCACCCACTTTCCCCTCTCCCCCGCCTCCCATCAACCCTCAGTTTGTTCTCAGTATTTAAGAGTCTCTTATGATTTGCCTCCCTCCCTCTCTGTAACTTTTTTTTTCCCCTTCCCCTCCCCCATGGTCTTCTGTTAAGTTTCTCAGGATGCACATACGAGTGAAAACATGGTATCTGTCTTTCTCTGCCTGACTTATTTCAGTTAGTGAATACCCTCCAGTTCCATCCACATTGCTGCAGATGGCCAGATTTCATTCTTATTGCCAGGGAGTATTCCATTGTATATATAAACCGCATCTTCTTTATCCATTCATCAGTTGATGGACGTTTAGGCTCTTTCCATAATTTGGCTCTTGTTGAAAGTGCTGCTATAAACATTGGGGTACAAGTGCCCTATGTATCAGCACTCCTGTATCCGTTGGGTAAATTGCTAGCAGTGCTATTGCTGGGTCATAGGGTAGTTCTATTTTTCATTTTTTGAGGAACCTCCACACTGTTTTCCAGAGTGGCTGCATCAGCCACCAACAGGACAAGAGGGTTCCCGTTTCTCCACATCCTCTCCAGCATCAATAATTTCCTGATTTGTTCATTTTAGCCACTCTGACCGGTGTGAGGTGGTATCTCAGTGTGGCTTTGATTTGTAGATAAATACTCATTTTTGTTAACTTCTGTAGGGATCTAGTTGTAACAAGCACATAGCTTTTAAAAGCTTACTTATTCACATTGATCGTAAAAACAAAAATGAAATTTGAATTTTTCTCATGAGGCTGTTGATGTCTGTGTGTCTGCTAAAGCTTAGTGTGCATCACAGTTTACCCACCCTCCAGTTGATGATGTTTCATTTCACCTTTTAAAAATAACGTTCTTCCTATTTTTGTTCATATTGTCTCCATGAATTTATTTTTTTTTAAGATCTCGATTAGTGGTGGTCTTTCATTTACCACACTTAGTCTCTCTGAGTTCCAGGTTCCTCACCTGTGATAAGATTTACTTCAATCTTCCCAGGGTCAGGATCATATTTTAAATAAAACGAAGTAATTTCTACAAAAACATCCAGCATAGTACTTGGCATACCATAGTTTGTCAGAACATAGGCTATTTATTTATTTATTTTAGAAAAGCATAAAAGAAAACAAAAGTAATTTTAATCTCATCACTTCTGTAGTTCTTATTGATACTGAAATAAATAAAAATAAAAACATTCATTTGCCAACAAAATTGAAACAATATAAAAAGGTATCAAATCAAGAATAAAAGCCTCTTACTCTGCATTTCCTTTTTCTCCTCCTGTTAGTAAGTACTCTTAACCTTTTGTTTTTCATTTGTTTTTGATGCAAACACAAACATTTTGCATACCATCTTGCATCCTTTTTTTTTTTTTTTGAAGAAAATGTTCTGTGTGACATAGGACTAAGTTCAAAACAGTTGGTTTAACAGAATATGTGTTTTCCTAAAAAGTGGTGGGTATATCAGTTTTTGGCATTGAAATTGAACTTTGTAAATTAATTGAGAATCTTGCTATTTAAAGGATTATGCCTTAAATATTTTTGTTAGGCAAAGATTCTTCTCTTCTAGGTAACTTTTCCTTAATTTCTTACGCATAACCCTGGATTATTACGTTACATTTTTAAAATCAAGGTATACTACTTCTGATTTAGTTGTAGTATTTTCCAGTATACTCATTGGAGGTAATGGTATTGATTTGCCTAGTTTTAATGGTTAATGAACTCTAGCAGGACTGTTATAAAATTGGTGTTGGGAGAACAATACGAGTACTTGATTTATAAATTATTCATACTATGAAGTAGTTTAGTATGTATTGAAATAAATTATTTAGCCTGTAGTGGAAATGCACTTGGTCGTGAGCTCTGTCATAATCCTTCTGTCATGTCTTGAAGGTTATTGTTCAGTTCCAGCCTTCATCAGTGCCAGATGAATGGGGAACCACACAAGATGGACAGACAAGGCCCAGGGTTGTAAAGCGTGGAATTGATGATAACCTTGATGAAATTCCTGATGGTGTGTATAGTTTGCTTAGGGCCAAGGTCTTTTTTCGACTCCTCTATTGTAGCATCATTTTTAGAATGATGAAAAAGGGAGCAATTATTAGGAATACTTGCTGTAACATGCAGAAATCAGCCAGGTTGGCACATATCTTTCTTTTTATCCTATTTTCTCTCTCTTAATTTTTAAGTTGAGAATCCTGTTGAAGATATACAGACCATGTAATGTAAATTCTAAAATACGTATTGTTGTGAAGAAACACTTTGCTGGTTGAAACCAGGCTTTTGGCAATACATTTGGGCTTTTTTTGGTTATGCCTTATCTACCTTGTATTACTCCAGTGCAAGTTTGCAAACTTTTTCTGTTAAGGAGCAAATAGTAAATATTTCAGGCCATATGGACTTGGTCGCATCTACTCAACTCTGCCATTGCAGTGCGAAAGCATCCATAGATAGTATATAAACAAATGAGCATAGCTGTGTTCCAGTAAAGCTTTGTAAAGAACAGGCAGTGAGCAAGATTTGGCCTGTTTGGTCAACCCCTGCTCCAGTGTATATGCTTTGGTTTCTCCTGTTGCACCATTCAAAATGACACATTTCAGGGGCACCTGGGTGGTCGGTTGGTTAAATGTCTGACTTCTGCTCAGGTCATGATCTTGTGGTTGGCGAGTTTGAGCCCCGCATCGGTCTCTCTGCTGTCAGTACAGAACCCGCTTCAGATCCTGTCCCCCTCTCCCTGCCCCTCCCCTGCTTGTACTGGCACGCGCACGCGCGTTTTCTCTCTCAAAAATAAAATAAACGTTAAAAAATATACACATTTTATTTTGACAATTACGTACTTCGTTTTTGTTTCATTGTCTTATGAAATGATAAAATAAATGTACTCATTGTGAATCTGAACAAAATAACCAGAGTGAAATAGTAAATTTAACTTGTAGATGTTCCTATATGCCAGAGTAAGATAATAGATTTAACTTGATTTTCCTATATATATCTTGAAGATGCTCTTGATACAGGATATGTATTGTATAGGGAAATGGAAAGATTTGGGGAAAATGCTTTATTTTAATTAATTACATTTATTTATTTAAGTAATCTCTATACCCAGTGTGGGGCTTGAAACCACAACCCTAAGATCAAGAGTTGCATGCCCCTCCAGCTGAGCCAGCCAGGCGCCCCACTGGGGGAAATATTTTAAAGTTTTATATTGGCATATTGCTTTTCCATGTGGGACTTAGTAGTCTCCTGGGGAATCCTGAAGAAATCACAAAGGTTATGGAGATGCAGTAGGCACAAAACTAATGATTATCACATGCTCATAACTTCTGGGATCGGGGTGACCTTCCTCCACTTCTTGGTCTAGTTCACTGTTACTTACCGAGATGGACCTTGAGCTTTGTTCTTCTCATCTCATAGAGAGTAATAAAGCTTATTAGCATGGAAGGGTCCTACAGTTCTTTGCCCAGTTTGTGGTGACAAAAGGGATAGCTATAATATTGCATGTATATAGCCATGTATGCATTTCTTTTGTAGGGGAAATGCCTCGGGTTGACCATTTGGTGTTCATGGTGCATGGCATTGGACCTGTGTGTGACTTGCGCTTTAGAAGCATTATTGAATGTGGTAAGTTAGTCATTTTATTTCATGCGATGACTGGAGAACTACCAGAAGAACATTGAAATGTTCATTTTTTTTTTTTTCTTGGAACAAGTATCATTTTCTGGTATTATTCAGAGACATTCAAAAGGTGACACCCTTATGTTAAAACAAATAGAAAATACTTGGCAAAATATTTTCTAAGATAGAGCTGTTCACTCAAAACTAAATGTTCATTAAAAAAAATTTTTTTTTTTTTTAAATATTTTTTTTCAACGTTTTTTATTTTTATTTTTGGGACAGAGAGAGACAGAGCATGAACAGGGGAGGGGCAGAGAGAGAGGGAGACACAGATTCGGAAACAGGCTCCAGGCTCCGAGCCATCAGCCCAGAGCCCGACGCAGGGCTCGAACTCACGGACCGCGAGATCGTGACCTGGCTGAAGTCGGACGCTTAACCGACTGCGCCACCCAGGCGCCCCCAAAAAAAATTTTTTTTTTTTTTAAATTTTTTTTTTCTCAACGTTTTTTTTATTTATTTTTGGGACAGAGAGAGACAGAGCATGAACGGGGGAGGGGCAGCGAGAGAGGGAGACACAGAATCGGAAACAGGCTCCAGGCTCTGAGCCATCAGCTCAGAGCCTGACGCGAGCCTGACACGGGGCTCGAACTCACGGACCGCGAGATCGTGACCTGGCTGAAGTCGGACGCTTAACCGACTGCGCCACCCAGGCGCCCCCCAAAATTTTTTTTTTAAATGTTTGTTTATTTCTGAGAGAGAGAGAGACAGAGCATGAGTGGGGGAGGGGCAGAGAGAGAGGGAGACAGAATCGGAAGCAGGCTCCAGGCTGTGAGCTGTCAGTACAGAGCCCGACACGGGGCTCGAACTCACAAGCCGTGAGATCATGACCTGAGCCAAAGTCGGTCGCCCAACCGACTGAGCCACCAGGTGCCCCTAAATGTTCATTTTTAAGATACTTTCCAGCTGTGTACTACTGGCTGAGGAACTGTAAGGGGAGATTTTTAAATGGTCATTGGGAAATAATTTGTACTTGATTTGCTCTTATGATACGTGTAACTCATAAAATCCTAGACTGTGAAGAATTAGAATAATTAGAATTAGGGAGATCTTTGAAATGATTTAGCCTTTCCTGACAGACACCCTCTGCCTAAGCACGTCTAGCAACTGGGAATACCTATGCTTTGAGCTTTAAATTTAAAGTGAATTAGTTGAAAGAAGTTGTTTCATGGAACAGTGAATCTGCCTGTTTACTTACATTTTTGAAGTTTTGTTTTTATATTTGTATAATAGTTGGTATTTATTCAATACTTGGTTTGTGCCAGGCATTTTGTGTGTGTCATTTTACTTACCTCTCCCAATAAACCCTGGGGGTGTCTGTCCTCCGCACCGGTATGTGTGGCACGGAGGCCTGTAAGCACAAGTTAGCTTTTCTGCTTTCGTGGTCTGTGGGTTCTTGGGCAGGGGTCCAGTGGCAGGTAGTTTGATTCCAGAGATTGTACCCATGGTGCCATGCTGCCTTCCAGAAGTGGTAGTTAAGTTAATTCATTTACATATTCCTCTAAACTATTGAAAAGTTGAAAAGAGCTTCCTAAAAGTTGGGTTTTTTCTTTATTGGACTGATTTTGTCATTCTTATTTTTTTTTCTTAAGAAGTTTGTTATAAAGCATACTGGCATAGTTAATGGGAATTGCTAACTACCTGTCAAGCTGGGAAAATTTAACCTATTTAATTTGTCTTCCTGAATTTTTTTTTTTTTTTTTAAGTGGATGATTTTCGGGTGGTTTCTCTGAAATTGCTGCAGACACATTTCAAGAAATCTTTAGACGATCGGAAAGTAAGCAGAGTGGAGTTTCTTCCTGTTCATTGGCACAGTTCCTTGGGTGGGGACGCCACAGGTGTTGACAGGTTTGTGGACTTTGATAACTCGTCGTTCGGATTAGTCACACTTAGATTCAAGATTTAAACCATAATATAAAATAGTTTGTTGTAGCTTCAACAGATATATTCAACAAATACAGTCCTTTATTTAAATGTTCTAGTTGCCCTGACATATGATTTAACTACTGGCTGTTAATGTTTATATGCTACTTATCTGTGTGTGTTTACATGTGTGTTTTTGCACATGTGTGTAGGCATATGTATGTGTTCCTATTATAAATAAGAGACTCTAAGGAATTTTTTTTTTTAATGTTTATGAGAGAGAGAGAGAGAGAGACCAAGCACAAGGCGGGGGAGGGGCAGAGAGTGAGGGGACATAGAATCCGAAGCAGGCTCCAGGCTCCGAGCTGTCAGCACAGAGCCTGATGTGGGGCTTGAACCCATGAGATGTGAGATCATGACCTGAGCCGAAGTCAGACACCTGACTGACTGAGCCACCCAGGTGCCCTGAGAATCTAAGGAATTTAAGCCAGTTTTAGAATACTATTCTCACCTGTAGTAGTTGAGACAGGGTGCTGTCCTGTATGTTGTAGGACATTTAGGAACATCCTGGCCTCTACCCACTAGACAACAACAGCACGCACCCCCTCCTCTGGCCTCGAACCCATAACAGCCAAAGACATCTCCAGTCGTTGTTAAAAACCAGCAGCACTCTGTAGGCACTACGACAAGTTAGTGTCCCACTCAGTTTTGAATGCTCCCAGTTGAGAAACACAGATTGAGGTAAACATTTCTGCTGGGGCACAGGGCTAATAACATGTCTGGGTTTTAGTGAACATCATAATGTTTCAAGGCACGTAGTTTAATAAAACTAATTCTACAAACGGCATTCTGTGTTATTCCATATGTTATTCCAGGCAGGCCCTATTATGAGGGTGTTTTCTCTCCATGTGGATGTTCATGAACTTGGCTACCTCCATTCTCAAATCAGGAAAGATTTTTCAGTGCATGAAGCTGCTTTCTGATTCTTTGTTATATTCCCTGTTGTCCTTTCTGCTGCAGTTTTTGTCACGTGTCCTCATTTCCACTTAATTGGAAGAAAAATGGAAGAGTAGCCTTTTATCTTTAAAAATAAAATTTATGTTTTTACGTAGGCGTTCTTTTATGTAATAACTCTTCATGAAGCCCCAAAGTCATAGTATAGCTATAGGCACACGTAATTTTTGCTTTATCTTGATTCATTTATAATAACTGTCTACAGAATCAGCTCATAATTAGCCTATGGGATTCCTTTACTCATTGTGTATTTAGAAATCAGGATCTAAACTTTAAAAAATCTATAGGTTTAAGGTGGCTACTAACTGAATATACTTTTTCTTCTCTTTAAACAGGAATATTAAGAAAATCACCTTACCAAGTATTGGTCGGTTTCGTCACTTTACCAATGAAACCTTGCTAGATATTTTATTTTACAATAGCCCCACCTACTGTCAGACGATTGTGGAAAAAGTGAGCATGGAGATCAACCGTCTACATGCACTTTTTATGAGTCGGAATCCAGACTTTAAAGGAGGAGTCTCTGTTGCTGGTCACAGTTTAGGTAAAACTGTCAAATATCCACATTTTAAACATGATTTTTGTTGAGTCCTCACTGCTTTTAGAGAGGGTGACAATGTTAGTGTGAGATTTAGAATTACAGGTTTTAATTTTTTTTAAATTCTTTTTTTAATGTTTATTTTTGAGAGAGAGACAGAGTGTGAGTGGGGGAGGAACAGAGACAGTGGGAGACACAGAATCTGAAGCAGGCTACAGGCCCTGAGCTGTCCGCACAGAGCCCAATGCGAGGCTCAAACCCACGAACCATTAGATTGTGACCTGAGCTAAAGTCAGATGCTCAATCGATTGAGCCACCCAGGTGCCCCAGGTTTTAAGTTTTATAAAGGGTAGACATGAATGCGGTGAGTCTAGTTAGATTCTGCTTTTGCTTTTCAATTACCTAGGAATGCTTTGTATTTTAGTTTATTTTGCTATTTGGTAAAACAATGATATTGATGATCAGATCTTGAATGACATTTAACTTTTGTATGACTTCTGTCTAGGGACTTTGTAAAAAAAATGATAATTAGTGTTACAAAATTATTAGTACATTATAAAGCAAAATGCAATTTTTTTTCTAGGTTCTTTAATATTATTTGACATCCTATCTAATCAAAAAGATTTGAATTTGTCAAAGTCTTCTGGGCCTTTTGCTGTTGCTAATGGAGTTGTGAAGCAGCCACATTTTCAGGAAAAGCAGGTATGGCCTGATTAACATTCAGATTTAGAAGTGAAGCTGAAAAGTTTATTAAAGTCTGAACTTTCCCGGAAAAAAATTTTTTTTAAAGTTTATTTAAGCAATCTCTACACCCAACGTGGGGCTTGAACTCGCAATCCTGAAATCAAGAGTCATATGAGTCTTCTGACTGAGCCAGCCAGGTGCTCCTGAAATGTTTTTATAAATCAAATTATCCTGAGGTTTATAAGTATGATAGGATCATGTAGCTTGTTGGAGTTTCTCACTTTTCTTTCTTCTGGATTATAAATTTAAATGTGAAAGAAAGTTTAGGATTTTAAAAAATGTTAAGCAAATTACTGTAGAAAATGGGAGTGAGAATGATTTATTAAATTTATATTCTTTTTCAGAATATTCAAACTTTGGATGATAAACTACCAAAAATGGATTTCTTTGTGGAGCAAAATTGTTTAAGATTTTCTGTAGGTCAGGAGACATTTTGTGGAAGTTTTTCTGAGCTTTGTAATGTTCCCTTGACTTTTTTTTTTTTAAGATGCCTGAAGAGTCAAAGCTGACTTTGGATGAGTCTTGTGACCTTGATGTTGAAAATGAAGAAGTCCTAAGTTTGCAAGAAACTCTGGAAGCACTTAGCCTCTCTGACTATGTTAGCACTTTTGAAAAGGAAAAGATTGACATGGAATCTCTGGTACCGATGATAGTTTTGTTCGTTTCTGTTTGAAATTGTTTTTCCTGTAAGATCAAACATTAAGAATGGTTTGAACATTCTTACATCATAATACATTTCAGATAAGGCAGAAACTTACATGTTTAAAAAATGGAAGGCAGGAGTTTTGTTTGTTTTTTAGTATAATCTGGGAATGCTTCTAAGTAGGACACAAAACCCAGAAGCCATAAGAGAAAGATTGCATAGCAGGAGATGCCTTAAACAACATCTAACGGCCAGCAATAGATTAAGAATATTTGGAACATCCTTTCTGGGCAAAGATTTTATTTCCTTATTATTTAAAAAAAATTTTTTTTTTTTCAACGTTTATTTATTTTTGCGACAGAGAGAGACAGAGTATGAACGGGGGAGGGGCAGAGAGAGAGGGAGACACAGAATCGGAAACAGGCTCCAGGCTCTGAGCCATCAGTCCAGAGCCTGACGCGGGGCTCGAACCCACGGACCGCGAGATCGTGACCTGGCTGAAGTCGGACGCTTAACCGACTGCGCCACCCAGGCGCCCCTATTTCCTTATTATTTAAAGCTCCTACAAAATAGTTCCACAAAGCCCATCAACACAGTAGGAAAATAAGGGAAGAAAAAAAAGTGTTTACAGAAGAATTTTAAAAAAAAGTATTTTATATATATATATATATATATTTTTTTTAATGTTTATTTTTGAAAGATCATAAGCAGGGGAGGGACAGAGAGACAGTGGGACACACAGAATCGGAAGCAGGCTCCAGGCTCTGGGCTGTCAGCACAGAGCCCAATGTGGGGCTTGGGGCTCGAACTGACGAATGGTTAGATCATGATCTGAGCCGAAGTTGGACACGTAACCGACTGAGCCACCCAGGCTCCCCTACACGAGAATTTCTACAAGGGTATTCACTGCAGCACTGTTTATAATAGCAAAACCTCAGAAACACTTTCCATGTCCACCAGTAGGGCACCAGTGCAATAATTAATGGTGCATGCACACAATGGAATACCCTGCAGCTGTGGAATAAATAAGGTAGTGTCAGAAATACTGGTGTGAAGTGATTCCTAAGGTATGTTATGAGAAAAGCGCACAGTTTAGTCCTGTTTGTATAGCAGGCTACACATACAAGGAAAACCACATAGGTGTTGTATATACAGAAGGTGTCTCTGGAAGGAGAGCAGATTGTCAGCAGTGGCTGCTGAGAGGGGTGGTGAGGACAGGAGGGGAGGAGAGAGACTTCATTGTCTGCTCGACTGTAGCTTTTGAATTTTGTACAACACGCATGTATTTTCAGCCAAAAATAAATAGAATGGTTTAGATGTGGAGGCCCCAGATTTTACAACCTAAATTAATCCATGATTTAAAAACAAATGGACTTTTAAAAAATCGACTGGATCTTAGATTGCTTTCAGTGATATGGGTTCTTGTTATCATTTCCTTATTTCAGTTGCAGCTCATCTGTCATTAGACCAATTAACTAATGTGCTTATCTGTTTCCTTTTAAAGCTTATGTGCACAGTTGATGACCTGAAGGAGATGGGCATACCCCTTGGACCCAGAAAGAAGATAGCTAACTTTGTAAAACAGAAAGCGGTTAAACTGGTAAAGTTGATTTCCGCCCTAAAAATAGAAACCCAAACCCATCTTTGACTAGCTCCTTTGTATTTTGGAAGTTTGTGTTGATACTGGTATGGTTAGGCCAGCGGGTGTGCTCCCTGCCCGAGGGCACAGTCATGTTGACGGAGGCCCAGACTTTGGAGGCAGCCAGAGCTGAATTTCAGTCCTGAAATTCAGTCCTGAAAACCATCCTGATTTTCCTGGAACCCAGAGAATTCCCAGGCCAAAGGACTTGCAGTTTTAAAATTGGTATTTGGGGATTTCCTGGTACAAACACTGGGTAGGCCCTGGACAGGAAGATGGATTGGTCACCCTAGTTCCCAGTTCAACTACTTATTAGCTACTTACTCATGAGCAATTTGCTTCACTTTTCGGATCCTTTGTTTCCCTCATTTCTAAAATGTGAATGATGCTACCTTCCTTATAGAGCTGCAGTGAGGATGAAGTCATACGTGTCGGCTCTGCCCCCAGTAAATGTTAGCTCATGTTCTCCCTTCTCAGGCCTCACCATCTAAAGAAACAAGAACAGACTACTAAAATCTCGTTAAATTAGTAACAACCAAAAAGCGAAAATTATGAACAATACAAAACAAAGCCATAACTAAAAAGCATGCAGAAAGAAATAGAACAACTGGGAAAAAACTCACTTGTTTAATTTTCATTTATTAATCAAATTGATTTGACAGATTTTCTCAATACTTAGAGAAATTAGCACGTAGGGTGGCTACTTTATTTTTATTGTTGTTATGGTCTATGTTGATCCATCTTTTGAATTTCTGTGGTTCTTCTATTTGTGTCACGTGTTTGGAACTTCACATACGTCACTTTATACGCAATAGGACTATAAAGTCATAGAACTGATTTGTTACGATTAGCTTGTGTAGTTGAGTTATTCGGCATCTTATGAATATCTTTTGGGTCAGGCACCATGCTCGGTATTTGGAATTTGGAGACGAACAAGGTTATGTGGTCTAGTTAGGGGCAGAGATTTGACCACAAATGATGCATCGGTCCTGGAACAGAGCGTCGTCTGTGCTGTCAGCCAGAGGAGGGGTGGTATTTCTGGCCTGGGGAGAAGGGGCTGGGAATGGGGAGAGAAGACTCCTCCAAATGCTGATGCTTGAGCTTGAAGGAGAGAGAGGATTAGGGGAGATGGCTTTCCAGGAGTGGGCTTGTGTTTTCCTGGGGCTGAAACAGGTGAATTGGGAATACTGTAGGACAAAGGTTCCTGGAGGCGGGAATGGCAGGTGTTGGAGTTTGGATTTTCTTTTATAAGGGAGTGGTTCTCAGGCATGTTTTTATGGCCATGAAAGTCATGGTACTTTTTTTTTTTTTTTTAAGTTTATTTATTGATTTTGAGAGAGAGGGAGAGTGCATATGTATGTGAGCAGGGGGAGGGGCAGAGAGGGAGGGAGAGAGACTCCTAAGCAGGCTCCAAGCTGTCAGTGCAGAGCCCGACACGGGGCTTGATCTCAAAAACCAGGAGATCATGACCTGAGCCAAAATCAAGAGTTGGATGTGTAACCAACTGAGCCACCTAGGTGCCATAAAAGTCATGGTGCTTTTAAAGAAATCCCATGAAATACTCTCCTGCTTATTAGTTCTGTCACAAATTATGACTTAGTATCAAATCATCTGTTTAGTCTGAAGTTTAATTTTTATTAGACATGTTAAAATTTAAAAATATGTACCATAAACCACATTATAAAATTTCAGCCATGAGCAATGTGTCTGTAATAAATGAGTTTTTAACATTTTGATTCGTTCCTGGTTTTGCCATTAACGTTTGCTTTCTTTTGCTATTGGCTAGGGCCTACTGGCTGATATGGAGGGCTAAAGGAAAAAAAATTGGAGGTCAGCTTAAAATTGAAACAATTCTATTATCAGCTTGGTTAAAAAAGTTTTTTTAGGGGCGCCTGGGTGACGCAGTCGGTTAAGCGTCCGACTTCAGCCAGGTCACAATCTCGCGGTCCGTGAGTTCGAGCCCCGCGTCAGGCTCTGGGCTGATGGCTCAGAGTCTGGAGCCTGTTTCCGATTCTGTGTCTCCCTCTCTCTCTGCCCCTCCCCCGTTCATGCTCTGTCTCTCTCTGTCCCAAAAATAAATAAACGTTGAAAAAACAAATTAAAAAAAAAAAAAGTTTTTTTAAATGCTATACCTGGAAGATTGTACTTTTTAACCCCCTTTACCCATTTCTCATACCCTCCAGCCCTTATCTCTGGCTACACCAAATGGTTCTCAAGTTTTATAAGTTTGTTGATTTTTAGATTCCACACTTAAGTGAGATCATATAGCATTTGTGTTTCTCTTTCTTATTTCACCTGTCATAATGCCCTCAAGGTCCATCCATGTTGCAAGTGGTAAGATTCCTTTCTTTTTTGTTGATAGATGATATTCCTACGTGTATATACACACACACAGACACACACACACACAGATTTATACACACACCCACCAAAACATTATTCATTCATCCATCAGTGGACACTTAGGTTGCTTTCATATATTGGCTGTTGTGTAAAAAATACTGTAATGAACATGGGGTTAGAAGATGTCTTTTCGAGACCATGATTTTGTTTGATTTGGTTATCCCTCTAGATATCATATAGTATATCTACTTTTAATTTTGGTGGGAACTTCCATACTGTTTTCTGTAGTGGCTACGCCAGTTAACATTGCCATGAACAGTGTACAAGCTTTCCCTTTTCTCCACGTTATTTCCAACACTAGTTATCTCTTTCCGTTGTTGACGATAGCCATTCTAACAGTTGTTAGGTGATGCCTCATTGTGTGTTGGATTTGCATTCCCCTGATGATGAGTGATGTGGAACATGTTTTCGTGTACCTGTTTGCCATGTGTATATGTGTCTTCTAGGGGAAAATGTCTGTTTAAATCCGCTGCCCATTTTTAAATTGGATTGACTTCATTAAAAAAATTTTTGTGTGTGTGAATTGGGCCATAGTTTCATATAGCCCCCGTAAACCTCTTGCTCCAGTTTCTGAGGGGATGCGGTTCGCGAACCCCTGCTGTCTGGCAGTGGGGCAGTGAGGGGCTGTTACACATCTCAGAGCAGTCATTGTGATTATTCAGTGACTCAGTGAGAGATGATGGGGGTGTGTTGGGAAGTGGAAAAGAAGGCTGGCAGAGAGTTCTGTATTCTCTTTTTGCTTAAGAATTAACCAGTTAGACTTGATTCCCGATTTCCTGGTGTTTGGAAGTCCTTGATAGACAAGATCGGTTGGCCAGCTGTTTTGTTGAGGCGCCCTTTTAAGCAGAGACTTAGGCAGTCGTGTGCAGCCTGGCGAGCGAGGGCCGCTGAGATGTGGGCTTGTGGTGAACAGGCCAGTCCACTGTGGCAGCTGCTCACGTTCCTCTGACTCTGTTGGGCTGCTGTGTCAGGCTGCGCTCACAAACCAGTGTGAGTGGACTTGATCTCATTACTGCAGAGGCACACCTGTTCCACAGAGGCTCCTAACACTTCGGTTACTTCCTTACTCATGGAAATATGTGGGTCTTCTGTTCAGCGCAGGAAGTTTTGAGCGTTTTTGCACCTGTGTAATCACCACCTAAGATGGGAGTTAGAACATTTCTGCCATCAGATAATTCTCTCATGCTTCTTTGTAGTCCACTCCTCCTGCCATGCGATTACTACTTTGGTTTCCATCATTGTGGAGTTTTGCTGGCTCCTCAAGTTCACATAAATGGAATCAGCATCATATATTCTTGTATCTGGCTTTTACTCACAATCATGTTTTTCAGATTCATCCAGTTGTTGCAACATTTGCAGTTCATTCCTTTTTATCTCTGAGTAGTTTTTCCATTGTGTGACTCTAGCTGTAGGGTGCTCGTCCATTCTTCCCAAAATGGCTTTGAGGAAAATTGGTCAGTGGCTCCATGTAGACATGATGGGCGTAAACATGTTGAGTGAAGAAATTTCTCCCCAAATTCATATCTTTATGGGAAGTATGTATTTTACAATTATATGGTACTTTAATCTGTCTAAAGTTGAGACCATAAAGGAAGAAGTTGGCATTTTTTATTAAAAATCTAAGTTCTATGGAAAAGTAGAGTGAGTGTGTGGATCCTGAGAAACTTAACAGAAACCCATGGGGGAGGGGAAGGAAAAAAAAAAAAAAGAGGTTAGAGTGGGAGAGAGCCAAAGCATAAGAGACTCTTAAAAACTGAGAACAAACTGAGGGTTGATGGGGAGTGGAAGGGAGAGGAGGGTGGGTGATGGGCATCGAAGAGGGCATCTTTTGGGATGAGCACTGGGTGTTGTATGGAAACCAATTTGACAATAAATTTCATATATTAAAACAAAAAAAGAAAAGTAGAGTGAATAGTATAATGATAGCCAGTATTTAGATTTAACTGTTGCTGTTTTGCTGTTTTTCTTAGTCTCTTAGTCATTTTTTTCTTAAGCATTTTATTTATTTATGTTTATTTATTTTTGGGAGAGAGAGAGAGAGAGAGAGAGAGAGAGAAAGTAGGGAAGGGGCAGAGAGAGGGAGACACAGAATCTGAAGTAGGCTTCAGGCTCTGAGCTGTCAGCACAGAGCCGATGCGGGGCTCGAACTCAGGAACCGTGAGATCATGACCTGAGCCAAAGTCGGATGCTCAACCAGCTGAGCTACCCAGGCGCCCCTTTTTTCTTAAGAATTTTAAAGTAAATTGTAGAAATCCTGGTGTTTCTTCCCTAAATATTTAGTGTGTGTCTCTAAAAAGGACATTTCTCTAATCACCACACTGCCTAAGAAATGACTGAGGATTCCTTACCATCAACATAACGTGTTCCATAGTGATAGCTGATTAACTGAACTTTTCCTCAAGGTTATGTTATGAATTGTTGGTGTTTCACAGGAACAGAAAAAAGCAGCATCAGAGAAGAAGGCAGTGATGGCTGCTTCGACAAAAGGGCAAGAGGAAAGTGCTCAGAAAGCTAAAGAGACGGCTTCTCTCCCCTCAGAATCTAATGAGTCCAAGAGGAAACTTCCAGTTGGTGCTTATGTATCTTCTGTGCATGTTGATTATGAGTCTTTTGAAGTTGGCACTGGACAGGTAAGTTTATATGTTGATTAGGGCTGCAAATTTTATATTGGAATCGTATATCTTTTTTATTTGAGTTGGCTTTAAATTATTTTTTAATTTTTTTTTTTTTTAACGTTTTATTTATTTTTGAGACGGGGAGAGACAGAGCATGAACGGGGGAGGGTCAGAGAGAGGGAGACACAGAATCTGAAACAGGCTCCAGGCTCCGAGCTGTCAGCACAGAGCCCGACGCGGGGCTCGAACTCACGGACCGCGAGATCATGACCTGAGCTGAAGTCGGCCGCTTAACCGACTGAGCCACCCAGGTGCCCCGAGTTGGCTTTAAATTCTTTAAAAATTCAACATTTATGGGGGGCGATGGAGAAAACTGATTTGCATTCAGTAGGATTGTATGCTTCTTTCATAGAAATGTTCCAAATAAGGGATCGTGTACTGAATGTTACTACTTTTGAAATTGTTTTCATTTCAGTTTTTCCATTATTTTGTAGCAGTACTTTATATTTTATAGTATTAGTCTCTCATAGGCATCAGCAACAGAGTGGCAGTACTTAGAAAGAAAATTATGTTCTGAACATAATAGACGCCAGTTACCTGCAGTTTTCAGTGACTCAAGGTCGACCGTGACCTGGAAGCAAATGATCCTCCTTCTGACATACATGGTCAGAGGGTCAGCAGTAGCCTAACATTAGGTCACATGCCTACGTCATTCCCCCCACCTCATCTCATCACGTACACCTTTTATCATCTCACATCATCACAAGAAGAGGCTGAGTGCAGTGCAAGAAGATATTTCAAAAGAGACACACTACATTCACATAACTTTTATTATAGTATATTGTTGCAATTGTTCCATTTTATTGTCGTTGTTAATGTCTTACTGTACCTAATTTATAAATTAAACTGTCGTAGGTATGTATGTAGGCAGATATGTAGGCAAAGACGTGGTATATAGTGTACCAGATTATCTGAGGTTTCAGGCATCCACTGGGGGTCTTGGAGTGTATCCCCTTGGATGAGGGGAGACTAATATATCCTTAGATTCCTGTGAGAGAAACTTGCTGCATTCACTTGACTTACAGTTTTTAGTATTCACAATTCTTCCCTTGGAGAAAAAAATTATTTTTTTTTTCCAGAAAATTTCTATAAAAACCAAGGAGTCAGTGGTGCTTCATTTAATAGTATACTTTACTATACTTGTATCTCAGTGGCTTCGGAGTATTAAAATCTTTATAGACATTGTATTTTTGAGTGTATTTATAGTTGGGTCTCTAAGGTTCCTTATCATAAAGGAATTCATGACTGATTTAAAGAAGGCAGAAAATGGAACAAGGTGTTTATTACAGTCTATTCAAGCTTTTAACCCAATTCACTGATAAAGATTGCATTTTTTAAAATGTCTTTCTTTTTATTTATTACTATTATTAAGTTTATTTATTATTATTTATTTTTGAGAGTCAGAGAGAGACAGAACGTGAGCGAGGGAGGGGCAGAGAGAAAGACACAGAATCCCAAGCAGGCTCCAGGCTCTGAGCTATCAGCACAGAGCCTGACATGGGGCTCGAACCCATAAGCTGTGAGAGCATGACCTGAGCCGAAGTTGGATTTTTAACCGACTGAGCCACCCAGGTGCCCTATGTTTATTCATTTACTTTGAGAGAGACAGTTCACATGGGGAAGGGGCAGAGAGAGAGAAGGAGACAGAGAACCTCAAGCAGGCTCCGCACTATTAGCGTGGAGCCCAACGTGGGGCTTGAACTCAAGAAACTGTGAGATCATGACCTGAGCCAAAGTTGGACACTTAACTGACTGAACCACCCAGGAACCCTTTATTATTATTTTTTAAGTTTGTTTATTTATTTTGAGAGCGAGAATGCGGGAGGGTCAGAGAGAATGAGAGAGAGAATCCTAAGCAGGCTTTGCACTGTCAGTGTGGAGCCTGATGTGGGGCTCGAACCCATGAGC